TATGGTACACATAACTAACTAGTTTGTCATTTATTTAAATTTTATGGCTCACTTGCTGGGGTTGTTGTCTAGTCATGTATGTACTTTAACCAAATCCATTTAGTTCATTGATCTTTATGAATTCCAAATTTTAACATGTCAAAAATATTTTTAAAAAAATTAAATTAAATCAATTAAAAGATAACCAGATCCATTTAGTTCATTGATATTAAAGAATTTTAACATATCAAAAATATTTTAAAAAAAATTAGATTAAATCTATTGAAAGAAAATCAATATTTAATCAATATCAACATTCAGATAAATACAGTCCATCTTTAACAATTTCACATATCAATAGATTTTATTACAAAATCTATCTCAAGATTTCTATAAAGGGACCGAGTTAAGAAGATTATATTATTATTAAATTTGACAGTATATCAGTGTCAACTTTAAGTCTGGTTGAAAGCTCTTTCATTTTCTATTTGTTATCTTAATCTGAAAATTGGGTGTTGTTCTTTTTGACAAGATGGATGACAAGTTGTAGGATTAAACACTCAAGGGTAATTTCTACCTTTATTTGATTATGAACACCCACATGTTGAAAATAAACCAATGTATTATTATAATCTATTGAAGAACTTTGGTGGATATAAATTTAGAGGGTGTGTATTTCATATACTTTATATATATTTAAATGTTTATTTTATTGTTTAACAGGTTGGGGGTCAAATGGTCAAAAACATGCGCTTTAGATTATAAGGTCTGTCATGGAGTCAAGTGATGTGGTTTTCGATTCCACACTTGCACATGACTAGGAGTAGCATTGTCTGCCTAAGTTTTCTGCCACTGCAAATTATCAAAATATAGTACCATGTGTTAGACCAGAAATAACCTAGTTTGTGTTGAGTGGACCTTAAACCTCTCTCTCTCCCCCCCCCCCTCTCTCTCTCTCTCTCTCTCTTTCTCTCAGTAATAATGGCTTAAATCAAGTGATCCTTTGACTTTATGTCACAGATTTAGAAAAATAAGGGTGTCAGTAGTGATTTGTGGCATGCATCTTGACTCGAATACAACATTCAATTTCATCACAAACAAAAACCTAAAATTTAAATAGAATAATTAGTAAATTTTGCATAATGTCGAGGGGGGGGGGGGCTGGGGCCCCTGGGCCCCCCATCTAGATTCCACCCCTGTGTTTATGTTACTGTAGTTATGATAAGTATTAGCCTGTATCAAGCCTCTAAGGCAGGATAAATCTGAATTTATATCACCTGTATCATATATCTACAAAGGTAAAAGTTTATTCACAATAAAATGGTCTGGCTGTGACCACATGTTGATTAAATCACCAGTGTTGACACTTTAAATGTCTATATATTATATATACATCCGATTTTATTTACCTATTTAGATTGTATTTATAACCAGACAATCATAAGTAAACAATTGATACATATATTATTGCTTGTTAAATGGGCGTAAAATGCAGATTTTTTAAAGATATACCAAATGCCATTTATTAAATAAATGTATGTGTTTAGTTTTCTGGCTTATAGGATGCAAGAAACTGAATTGTTCGTAATGTAAACAATGAAAGTTCATATATCAACAGATAAATGTACTTAATACCTACATGATCTGTCAAACAGTAGTAGTGTATCCCAGATGTCAAAAAAAAATATGTGGAGGAGGTCCATAAAATGTAAATAATCCTAAAATGCATATTTGAAGAGATGGGAGGGCACAGTAAACAGGAGTCTGTAGGCTAAATGTTAGTGTTGGTTTATAAAGTCAACTGTGGGTCTCTGGGTCTCCAGTGGCTCGATTAATAAAAAAGTGATGACCGAAACTATGCGATGTCTATCAAAAATAGAACATTGATCTACTACTGAAGTACATTCTTTATTAGAATTGGATACTGTCTAGCGATGAATAATTTACCGTGGTATATCAGTGTGATAGATTTATAACTTATATGATATACATACAGTATTGTGTGCTATTTTTCATTGTGCATTTCATAGATTCTCAAAGACAGGTATGTGAGTGTTTCTGCTGGGAAAAAATTGGATTAAGCAGGGCTTATGTCAAGATTGCAACTGGGAGCAACTGTTTTCAACCAGTTTCAAGTGTGCTTATGTGGATCAAATCAACAATAATTGCAATAATAATTGCTTTGAGTTTTAAGAGGCGCTCAGGTCGACCGTTTTCAGTCGAAGCCAGTTACTCGCAGTTGTATGTTCAACATAAGCTTCACTTTAGAAATCATAATCTTTGTATGGAGTTTTAATAATTAATGGGAAAGATTCACCGAAATTCAAGTCTACATGTTAGATGTGTGTGACTTTGTCTAAATATATATGTGGGGATCACGGTGGCTAAGTGGGTAAGACGCTGGCTCGCTAGTCTGGAGGTCGGGTGTTCGATCCCTGCATTGGCGAGAAAGTTCATCCCGATTTTCTGGCGTGGTTCCCCCTGTCAGTGATGCAGGACGGAGGGCCTGACAAGGACAGCTGTTTAGTCATTTGGATGGGATGAAAAACCGAGATCCCGTTTACACATTGGTGTGCACATAAAAGATCCCTTGACAGTTGGAATTCGATATAAGAGTAGGCCATAGTGCCGCTGTCTGGGCAAAATTTCCCTCATAGCACACTGTATGGCGTATGCCCGTCTTCATTAGCCCAGGTTAGGAGCAGAACAGTAGGACGTTAAACCCCATTTCATTTCTTTTCATTTTTACATAAGCTCCGCTTTAGAAATCATAGTCTTTGTCTGGAGTTTTAATAATTAATGGGAAAGATTCACAGAAATTCAAGTCTACATGTTAGATTGTGTGTGACTTTGTCTAAATATATATGTAGGTATATGCATGCTGTTCTTAATGGACGTCTTGATGCAATAAATATCTTATCTTATGTTGATCAAGTTTGTAATGATGGTCGCTAACAGATAGCAGAAATGAAATATTTAGGTCATTAAAAGGGAGTTGGTCCAACAGACGATTTATAGTGTATTATAAATTTTATGACTGGTCATCTTGCTATTGTTCTTGGTTATTAATTTACTTCCTAATGTTTGGATATCCACCTCATTCAAACTTTGTGTCTGGTCAAGGAGGTATTTTTGTATTATCTTTATATTTATTACTGCTAGGTTATCTCTCATTGTGGGCTGAGACAGTCATTGAGATTTTTCAATCCCGGTTTACATTTGTCAGAGATACTGTGGTGTCTGGGAGGTTAACAAGTAAAATGAGTCTAGTCATTGGTAAGGTATAAAAAGCTATGGTCTATTGGTTTACACATTAACAAACATGTGCTACAGTGGCATAGTGAATAAGGTGCTGACTCACAAACCAGGAGATCCAAAGTACGACCCTGGTGTTGGCAAGGAACAGTGTATAGACATTCGTATGGGATGAAAAACTGAGATCCCATGTACACATCGGCATGTACATTAAAGAACCCTTGGCAGTTGGAATTTGAGGAAGAGTATCTGGAAAAGCCTCTGTCCGAAGAATGTCCCACTTGGCACACTACATAGCATACGCCAGTTTTCATTAACCCTGTAGGATGTTAAACCCCGTTTAATAAAGCACCAGAATTCAGATAACTTAAGTGGTGGACACACTAGCCGAATGATTCGGCCGAATCAATCGGCGCTGAATTTTATTCTGCCGAATGGGTGGACACACTAGCCGAATGCTTCGCCCGATTCAACCTGTCGATTGCATCACCTTTCACGTCACATAATTAAACATGGCGGCGTCTATGTCTTCAATCTATCATGTGACCTCTCGATATGGGTGGTGATTGGCTAATGAATTCTATATTCGGCCGAATGCTTCGGCGAAGCGGACACACCAGGCGAATATAATTCGGCCAAATATATCAAACCTGTTTGATTCGGGCGAATCATTCGGCCGAATAGAAATTCGGCCGAATGATAGTGGACACACTAGGTGAATTTCGACATCGATTGATTTGGCCGAATCATTCGGCTAGTGTGTCCACCGCTTTAAAGAGGGCATTATTCAAGAGCTAAATCTTCTAATTACAGGTCTTTCTTTAGGCATTAAATGTTATTATAAATTATTAATTAGACATGACAAGACCATAACCAATCCTCAATGCCATCAGATGGCTCCGATTTTAAGTAGATTAGAACGGTTTGGCCATTTAATAATTTAATTTCAAAATGGAGAAGCTAGGTTAAGTCTCAAATAACCAGCACTGTGGTTATGATAATAAACAATCAATACACACATCTTGTCAAAACAACAAACATTGATAACTTCGCTCAGAATAAAGTAATTTGGGTATGAGTAATATACTAATTTTGCATTAACTATTTTTGAACAAAAAATACATAATGTATCTTTAATACACCACCATTGTTTAATGTAGCCAGACGCAGAACAAATGGCAGTTGAAACTAAATGATAATAATGAGAAACAGAATGATAATAATAACGTATTTTAATTTACAAATGGTTCCGCATATATCAAATAACTTGTAGCAGTAGTCATCATTTGTCATTGTGTATCCAAATTTATTGCTTTTTAATGACAAACTGTAATTATTTTGCCAAGCTTTTAATGATTGTTGATATAGAAGTGGATGTGTTCTGGCAAGCTATCTGTTAATCACATCCCATAATTACGTTATTTACATCTTTAATCTGTGACATTTAATGGAGTGTCACCCACACAGTTTGTCTTTATTTATTGTTCTTTTTTTGGAGTTTGGATATAATCATGTCACATGACCTGTCTGTCAGTTGTGTATAAGAATACAAAGACATATTACACACATACATGTATTAACATATATATTATTCATCCTTCCTTCGTTCCTTGAGAGGTTTTCAAAAAATAATTGTCACAAGATTTATGATTCAGATTTTATTTTTAAAAACTATTTTCAAACTGATAATTAGAAAAAAGTAACAGCAAACTGCAGTTTAGTAACCACTTTGTTTATTTTGTCTCAAATTTTGCTACCCAACAGTGCAGTGTAAAACATGAAGTTTATGGAGAGAGAGAGACAGACAGAGGTTTTGAGACTAACATATTGTTCAACTTTACTTCAGTAATCTGCTTTCATGTATGGGTCTTTAGCAGTGGGGGGATCTAGAGAAGACCTACGAGGTTGGACAGGCGTCCCTACTCCTTGTCATGTACAAGCGGGGAATCGAAACCACACCACTTGACTCAGTGACAGACCTTGTTAGCATTTAGCCATGGAACTCTAATCAGTTCAGTAATATTCCCTTTAAACCACTGCTTCATCTGTTTCGATGCAGTGTTGAACAGAGTCATGATCTGAAGATATACATGTATATATATATATATATATATGATCATGTGCAGTTACATGTACATTGCATGTAATAATACTTCTGGTGTTGAAACAATTGAGTATTCCGTAATACTGTATAATTCAGCATATTGTATCGATCCGATGTTGGAAGTGACAGAGTTCACTGTAGTTTGATTCACCTGTAAATGACTGTAGTATAAATCTGTGATTAAGGATTAAATATAGAGTTAATCCTGCTGTTAATCTTCCTGTATGTTTTATTTATATATTTTTACCTGTCTATTTTAGTGTGTAATGTAAAGACTGAAGTGATAGTCAAGATGAATGCAGGTAAAGTTTGGATTTATTTTATTCTTGTTCTAAATCGAAAACATTTTAAGGCGTAATATTCTAGATTAAAAGGCAAATATGATCATGGTCTTATTAAAAATCATATTGGTCCATAATGTAGATTTATTAAAGATCACATTGATCCAAAATAAAGTCTTAACAAAAATGATAGATCCAAAAGAGGGTCTTATATCTAAAACTACATTGATCCAAAATAGGGGCTTATCTAAAATCATATTGATCCCCAAATATGGTTTCATCTAAAATCGTGTTGGACTTGAATAATTGAAATTGATTGGTGCTAAACTCCTTATGTAATATATGGCAATTTAAAGTTTAGATAAAGAGTTGACAGTTCTTCCTTTAAAAGTTAAACAATAGATAATGTGAATAGAATATGCTGAAAATTAAATTTTATACTAGCCTTGTTCATCATTACTAAAGTCGGTATGATAAAAAACAAAGTCTTGATCATCCATTTTTACGTTTAATCATCCTTCACAAAATGTATTCCAATCCACTAAATATCACAGGCTAGCGATGGCATCGAGAGTTGATTATGGTCTAGATAAGTTAATTAATATCTAATTGATAATTTAGATAACATTTCAGGCCTAAAGAAAGACCTGCAATAGGCAGTTTTAGCTCTTGCATTATGTATGATTAAGACCATTGTGACCATGCCTATTCTTCACTTTGTTGCTTCTTTACATGATTAAGAAATAAATTCATTTCTGCTTAGTTTGGTCTTAATGACGATTGCATTCTCTAAAATATGAAATGAAATAAAATGAATTGGGGTTTAACGTCCTACTGTTCTGCTCCTATACTGGGCTAATGAAGACGGGCATATGCCATACAGTGTGCTATGAGGGAAATTTTGCACGGGCAGCGGCCTTAACGCCTACTCTTATATCGAATTCCAACTGCCAGGGGATCTTTTAGTGCATTCCATTATATACACGGGACCTCGGTTTTTCATCTCATCCGAAGGACTAGACAGCTGTGCTTGTCAGGCCCTCCGTCCTGCATCACTGACAAGGGGAAATCACGCCGGAAAATCTGGATGAACTTTCTCGGCCAATGCAGGGATCGAACACCCGACCTCCAGGCTAGCGAGCTAGCGTCTTACCCACTAAAATATGCATAAACTTGTGCTAGATAACTATGATATTTTAACAGTTTTTGAACTAATGTTTATAGAATAGTAGATATTATGAAATACATACCAAGAATTTCCCTTAGTTGCTGGTTAATGTCGATCCTAAAGTAAGAGCAAAAATTGTCCCTAAATGGAAAGATTTAGTCTAAAATGAATATAAGATATGTTGTGGTAAAAAGCAAGTTTACTTTGCTGGTTTGTCAAATTAAAAAAAATTCTAGTGAAATAACTATCCGATCTGTTGAGAAGAAATTTTTAAATTTAGGGAGTTTTTTTTAAAGAATAAACAAGAGGATATCGTAAAGTAGTATTGAAGATTGGCCTGATATAGAGAAGGCTGATTTCCTGATTGCCTGCTAATAACAGTGACTGATATCTATAACCAAACATAGAATAAAAAGAGAGAGAAAATCAGCAAGATTGGAAGTGAATAATTTCAAACCTGTAATACGCAGTAAATGTCCATAATATTTTAAAAATTCATTATTAAATTTCAATGAATTTTTATATACCGGTATCCACATTTCATATCGACATATATTGTTTTCTCCCCTGTGCGTCTGTCCATCTAGTTACATTTTGTTTGTGGACACCTGTAGCTACAGGTCACAACCTTTATCTGATTTTGGCAAAATGTAAAATATAGGTTTATAGTTTATATACAAAAGATCTCAGTTCCTTTCGATATTCTTATGTAGTCTAGTGCATGAGTTTTACATCAAAAAGCAGAATATTTATGCAAATTGGGGAAGTAATTCATCACTGATGTTTTACTGTTATTTTGATTCCCCAGTGTCTAAAAATGGTATAGGAAAAAGATTAGATGAAGTATTATTCCTCATGACATAACAGTATTTAGTAGTTTTTTTCCAACCTATGTAGATAGCTAATATCTTTGCAAATCATTATGGGTAAGGGACAAGTCTAATGTAAGTTTCACCTGGTATTCTGGTTTCCACCCACTTCTAAAAAAGCCTGAAATAAAAGGTACTATATGTTAGTCCCAAAATGACTTAATTTGTGTTAAGTGACTGTTAAACCCAATTTCTCTCTTTCTCTGTCCCATCAAATAAGATATGGTGACTATGAAAAATAATTGATTTTTGTACTATTCCTTATGGCTATATCTTTACTTGCAATTTGCTTTGTAGACAATTTGATCACTGTTATCTCAGTTCAGATCTGCACTTTGTATATTTCTTGCTAGATAGGCCATCTGATCAGTGTACCTGTACGACTGGTATGGGAACTGCTTTATTTCATGAATTATTCATAAATAAAAGCACAACCTTTAAAGATAACAAAAATAGCATGCAGAAATGATAATGAAAGAATAAATTGTGTTGTATTTTTTTTTATTGCTTGGGGCTAACAAATTAGAAATCATACTCTTTTGACACAAAACACTAATCTTTTGGGGTTTATATATGAGAAAAATACCGGAGTCCTTATTGTTGATGCACATGTACTTAAATCGATCTATATATAGATCAAGTCCTCTTAAATGTCCGGGAAAGATCGTTCACCTCAAAAATGCCATCGTCTATTATAAGTGATTTTGTTTTAAGTGGATATCAAAGAATTTTTCACATTTTTTCCAACTTGATATTTTTTTCATGAGCCATCTGATAAGAGTTTATTAATAATATTTATTAGGTTGTTGAGATTTATCATTCTATACATTTTCTATAAATATTCCATGTGATCAATCAAGCAAAGAGATAAAAAACAACATTTACTACCTACCAACTGTATAGTGAAAAGTTTATAAATAACCCAAATTCTTCAAACAAATTTACTTTGCTGTATTAATGTGTGTATATATAGCCTAATAATTGTGTGGATATAGGTTTTTATGTAGAGATTTTTGGGGTAGGGGTTTAGGGAAAGGAGACTAGAAGTGTAAATGGCACACAGGGGAGGAGAGTAGAGGTGTAAAGAGCACAGGGGGGGAATGCAAGATAATTTGTTACTGTTAAATACTTTATTGTAAAGAGACAATGCAAGTACCTTCCAATTTTGTGAACTATGAGGTCGTAGGGCACAGGTCTCTTGACTATGATGATTTTGTGGCAACGTCACGTTATATCCAGTGATAACATTTATCGCTATGTGAATTTTTGGGCATACATTTATCCCAAGTTTTGGTGTAATTATTGGCGCGAATAATGTTGGGATTTACTGCTGATGCTATATTAATCTACTCGACACAATCCCATTAATACCTAATTACAGACAGATTCATGTAACGCAAAGAAATCTGTCCTTGAGTTTGTCCCGCACTCTTGAAAACTCAATACACATATCAAACTAACTTAAAACAGTGTTTTCATGAGAAAAAAAAAATTGTATCCGGCAACTTAATCCTTCTGCCTACCCCCCCCCCCCCCAGCAGTGTTTTTCAATACAGAAGATCATCAAGATTGTTAAAATTAGGATGCTGCTCACCCCACCCTTGCTACGCTACATTGTAGATATATTATATAGATAAACATATACTATGACTTGTATAGTGATCAGTTTTAATTTTGACGATCGTAGTTCCTCAAGCTGCTAATATACTTGTATGTTCGTAATGTTTATTAGTGAAATGTCATAGGTGATAATGAGGCTCTAATTAATATCATATAAAGATATAGGTATATTAATTAATAATTATTTCCTTAATGTCAGATTTTATGATATTTTATATGTAAAATATTAGTGATGTTTCAACATCGAAAATTGGCCGATAAGTGGCCTGTCGCTTGAAATTGATTACGTTGATTCCAGCGGTTTTGTCGATACTGGAGTTAGCAATATCTTTTTAAAAAGACTCTGTAAATACCTTTAAAGTATGATTATTGCTGTGAACAAATTAATCTTTCTTGCTTGCCACTCTACCCTTTTATGTTTATTTTCATGCATGTGATCAACTCTCATTGCATTTTCCCGACTAACAATAACATGTATCTACATTAATCATCACTAGCAGTTGACCTGGCATAGCACAGGTATACATGTAGCCATGAACCAAAAGTGGCATAACTCTGAAATCAGTAGTGGTAGTCCATCGCCACCAGGCCTATGTTACCCCCCTGTCCGAGCTACCACTATACACCAGATTTAAGCCTCAGGAAAGTCTTAATGTAGCCACAAATATTAGTATAGATGACATTTGAGGCATTTTAATTGGTAATATTTTTATATCTGTCACTGTCGGTGAATGTATCTGTATTGGCCGAAGTCTCCCTGTCAGCATCTGAAATCGGTAAAACCTATAATACCCATATTAACATATTACTATAAAATAACATATTGGGTACATCCTTTAAAAGATAAAAACATCAAAGTAATTTTTGTAAACCATGTGTCATCATTCAACTAATGTTGGACTGTTTTTTGCTTTGTGTGCTGTTTAGCAGACCGTTACGCCTAATAAAACTTAATGCAGGAGGACTTATGGCATGCAGCATTAACCGAAATGGGAAATCTGCAAAACTCCATGAAATTCCAGTAGCTGTGGCTTCTGAGGTTTAAGCAGAAACTCTACACATATCAATTCATGGAATTAGCTATCAGAAGTGACAGGTGTTATACATGAATTGTGGTTTTCTTAATCTTTCAAGAATGCCTCCTATCTCTTCTTTGTTATCTCAAGAGTTTGTACAGTCAACTATTTTTGTATCGTAGTCAGTGAAACTGAATGGGGTTTAACATCTCATCCTTCTACTTTGGTTGTTTTGAGACTAACATATGGTCATTATTATTTATATGATTATGTCTGGTAAGGGACACTATATAGTCAGTCGGATAGGACAAAAAAATAAGGTTCTGTGTACACATCGGCATTTGGAAT